GGGGGGTTCCCAGCGCCCCCGAGGGGGTTCCTGGGGGTCCCCCAGCCCCTCTGACCCCCCCTTTTTCCCTCCCCAGCCCCCCCCGAGCCGCCGCCGCCGGCACAGCTCCCACTTCCCGCTCTGCTCCTTCTGCTGCAACTGCTGCGGGAACCGCGGCTGCGGCTTCTGCTGCCGCACCTGAGCCCCCCCGGGACCCCCGGCACCGGGGCACCCCCCGAACCCCTATTTATTACCCCCCCCCCCGCCCGTGGTGGCAATAAACCCCCCTTTTCTACGGATCTCGTGTGGTTTCGGGGGGTCCCACGGGGGTCTGGGGGTGGGAGGAGGGTCTCGGGTGGGCAGGGGGGGGCTCAGGGGGTCGGGGGGGATGTGGGGATTTGGGGGGACACCGTGGTTTGGTGCCATCCCCCAAGGATGACCAGGAACAGGAGTTTTGCCCCAAAAAAAGCTTCAATAAATACAGCGGCCCCTCCCCGGTACCAGGTGGGATCCCGGGGGATGAAGTGGGGGCTTCCTGTGCTCCCAGTGCTCCCAGTAAGGGTCGGGGCTCCCACGTGGTTCTTCGGAGGGAAGGGGGAAAGGGTGGGAAACATGAGGGGGAAGAGGGTGGGAAATGGGAGAGGGGAAAAAAGGGCCACCCATCGCTCCCAGTTGGGTTTGGGGGGGATGTTGGGTTTGGGGGATTTTGGGGGGATTTCAGGGGGGATATTTTGAGGGGATTTTGGGGAGATTTTGGGGGGATTCTGGGGAGGCTCTGAGGGGGCTCAGAAGGCCCCCCCCGCCGCGGGTGAGGGTGAGCACGGCGTCCATCCAGATCCGAAGGGCTTCGGCCGAGGGAGCCACGAGCCAGAAGAGCCGCTCGTAGGTCTTGAGGCAGAAGGTCAGGCGGGGGTTTGGGCTCTGGGGGGAAGGGGAGGGGACATTTTGGGGGTCAGACCCAGAGACCACCCCCTGAGCAGGCCCTACAAGTGCCCCCAGCCCCTTAGAACCCCCTGGGTGGGTCCTACAGGTGCCTCTGCCTCATAGGAACCCACCAACCCCATAGAGACCCCTAAGTCCCATAGAACCCTGTCAGTGGGTCCCATAGGTGCCCCCCAGCCCCACAGCCCCCCCCTTCCCACACCTTTCCAGCCACTCTGCCGGGGTCGTACCAAACCTCCTCGATGGCCTGGAAGTAAATGACCCCCTTGAGCTTCGTCTGCGCCTGGTCTGGGGAGGACACGGGGGTGTCAGGGGAGAGCCCGAAACAAACAAAGATCCCTCGGCCCCTCAGAATCCCCCCGAACCCAAACAGACCCCCCAGAGCCCTCCATAACCCCCCCCAGACCCCTACAGACACCCATGGCCCCCTAAAACACACAGAGAGACCCCAGAGCGCCCCTTAACCCCTCAAACCCCCACAGAACCCCCTATGGCCCCCAAACCCACCCGTAGCCCCCTCCAGAATCGCCCAGACCCCCTCAAATGCCCCCCAGCCACCCCAAGACCCCCTCAAACCCGCCCAAGACCCCTCCCCGATGTCCCTAGACCCTCGTGCCCCCCAAAATCCCCCCCCATACCCCCATAATAGGCCAGGACCCTCCTGTGGGGGTCGAGGTGGAACCAGCGGCGCCTCCAGGTCTTGATGCGTCCCCCCATCTTGGTGAGGGGCCCCCTCAGGGACCCCCCCAGCACCCACAGCCCCCCTACAGCCTCGGGGCGGTGCCCCCGGGCCCGCAGGGCACAGAGCAGGTCTGGCTGCACCCCAAAAAAAATGGGGGGTCAGGGACCCAAAAATGGGGATCAGAGACCCCGAACCCCACCCAGCCCCGCCCCCTCAGGCCCCCAAAGACCTCCCTGAAACTCCACCCACCCCCCCAGCCCACCCCCCCCTCCCTAGACTGGTCAGGGGACCCCCAACCTCGCTCCTCCAGCCCCAAAACCCCACCCCAGGGGTCCCCAAACTCCCTCGAGACCCTGCAGGCCCCCCAGACCCATGGGCTGCACCCCAAAATCCCTCCCAGACCCCTGAGAGCCCCCCAGGAATCCCCCTCTGAGCCTCCCAAACATCCCCGAGCGCCCCAAGGTGCCCCCCGCAAGCCCCCAAACCCCTCCAAATTCCCCCAAACCCAGTGGGGGGTCACCTCAGGAGGGGGTGTGGCTGGGGCCGGAGGGGGTGTGACCGATGGCGGAGGGGGTGGAGCCTCAGTCGGGGTGGGTGGGGCATCATTTGGGGTGGGTGGGGCCTCAGTTGGGGTGGGCGGGGCTTTGGCAGCTCTTCGGGCCTCCTGAGGGGGGAGGGGGAGATGTGAGAAAGACACACCCCTCCAAGCCCCACCCACCTGACCACACCCCTTCCTAAGGCCACACCCCTTCTTAAGATCACGCCTTTCCCATCAGCTCTCCAATCACACAGCCAGGCCACGCCCATCCCAGAACATGCCCCACCCAAACTCCACCCCAAAATATACAAACCCCACCCCCTCCACAGGCCACACCCCAAAGACCCCCTCCACCTTCTTTCCCAGGCCACACCCCTTTCCCTACCACCACACCCACCCCAGCCACGCTGCCCACTTCAGACCACGCCCTCTGAGACCACGCCCACAACCACCACAAGCCCCACCCATGACCCCTTTATCCCCGCCTCCTTCCCTGCAGCCACACCCCCCACCGTGCCTCTGTTATCCCGCCAACGCCGAGGCCACACCCATGGGCCACACCCAAGACCACACCCACCCAGGCCACACCCCTCCAAAAGGCCACGCCCACCCCC